ATAAGTGCAAACATCAATTTTGGACTCTCTCCTGAGAAACATTTAACAAAGTCAGTGAACTACTGGTACCCTGGTATCTTTCTAGATTTGCCAAACTTTGATAGCTCTTTAATAAACCCATGCCTGAAGTTTATCTCTGTCTTCTTTTATTCTCTTACAGAAACAGGTCCATTAGTAAATATGCAGGTGTAAAAAGGATCTTCCTCTTTACTTCTCCATTGTGATATGTCTTAGAATTGTTCAGAAGTGCACTCTATTGTTAAAGCTATTTGTGCCGGGTGTGCTAATGCACTCTTTGATTGAGTGAATTAGCAGTCATAACAATCTGGCAGTCTGGCCATAGAAGTGTGCTCAAATTGATTTGTGTTATGGCTGGACTGGAAAATCAAGTGTTAGTTGTTTTTTGCCCTGGGGCATGTTTGTACCAAACTCCACTTTTCATTTAATTTTCCAATACATTTTGAAAGATTGAAATGCTTGTGATCAACATTTGATCCACTTGCATTATTTAAAAAATAAAAAATCTGAAAGTGATTTCAGATTCCAAAAAAACCTTGCTTTCAATTAGAGTAAACATAATTGGAGTGACGTCGTGCTCAGAATGGTGAAGCTCCCCTTGAATCTATTAAGCATGTTATCTCCTTGTCCTGTCACCGAAAGGAATTCAGTATATATCTGGAGTATACGTCTGTATTTTTCTGTGCATGCTTCCAATAGCATTTGGACAAAAAATTGAGAGAACAAAATTGTAATGGCTCTTTTCTTGTTGCCCTTTTTGTTTATGCCCAAAATGCTTGTTTCACTTAATGAAGGTATAGGAAAATACTCCTAGCTTCCTGGAAATTTTGAGACATTCAAGAAACATTCAGAAATGCATTGCCTTTAAGTTATTCAATCATTTTAGTTTTTTATATTCTATGAAATATGCCTTTTCAATCTTTTCTTTTAAATAATAGTACCAATTGCTATATTGAGACCCTGAAGATTTAAAGAAATGACTTATCCTGGTTTGTCAATACTTGTATCTTTCTTACAATCTCTTGCTTTGCTGTCATTTACCATAATTATAATACAAGAATAAACCTAAAAAATGTCTATTGATTACAGACAAAGCTTTGTGAAATCATTTAGTCAGTTTCCCCACTTGAGAAATCAGTGAATAAAATAGGTCGATAGATAAGGATTGAATGGGTCTAATACAGTGTTATACTTCCCTGGGTTGTAAAAAGGGTCAAACATAAATCCCCATAGAACTCATGTTTCCATACTCATAAAATAAAATGATACTTACCAATCCCAACTATTAGTCCACCTTTCTACAGATTTCTTCTTCTTTAAAAAAAAAAAAAAAAGGTTTTGAAAATATGATTTTATGTTTCAATGGAAGCATTTCCTTGCCACTTTCCCCTTTTAACTAAAGAGGATGCCCTCCTCATCGGTCTAAAGTGCCTGTTGTTATCCAGGTATTCACCGTGACTTTAGCTGCAACAGCTACTCTCAGTTTTGTTACTGTCAGCTTTTCTCAAAACTGATTTCAGACTGCATGGAACTCTGCATCCTTTGCCGATTTTTTGTTAAGTATGAGATGGATGGTAAGACCTGAGACCATTCTGTCTGTTAATTCCCATTCATATGAATATTGTCCGGGGAGGAAGGGAGGAGGGTGGAGGGGAGGGGCCAGGAGAGGGCAGAGGGAGGGAAGAAAATACCTTCCCCTGAACTGGTACTAGCTCAGCTTCAAACGATATCCTAGGAAAGAAATTAAAGACTTCTTAATTAGTGCAGCAATTAAGCTTTCTTGGTAGCATTTTAATCAGCACAGACCCTATCAAAGGACAAACAGAACGATTTGCAGGTCTTTGAATTTTAAACAGTCTTATTGATTTCAGCACAATACATCTTCACAAAACACAGGGAGAATTTTCTAATATCAGTTACAGTACTTTGAGTTTTGCGTATGCAAATTGAGTGAACATTGGGGCAGATGAGATAGAGGGAGAGGACCTGAAACAAGCAGAAATGTAAAAACAATAAACAAACAAGACAGCTCTGAAAGCTTAAGATGCAATGGGAAGGGTAAAAAATTGAAATCTTTCTTGAGTTGATTTATCTGCTGTTGTTAAATACTGTTTGCCTTAATCATTGGAATATTTCCCAAAAAAATAAACCTGGAAGATTTCTCAAGACTTTTTACCCTAAATGTTTTAATTTGCAATATTATACCCCTTTTCTAATCCTATTGTTTGATCAAAGGAGTAAGTGGCTGTTCTCTCAAATGGTTTAGAGACCTGAGGTCCCAGAAAGCTCTCACACTGGAGGAGTAAACGCCCCAAACCCTGTTTCTGAGCGGAGCACGTGCTGGGAGGCACAGGTTCCGGTGCAATAGACAAATTTGGAGTTTGCTTCCAAGTAGAGTGGGATTATGGCTTGGTCTACATTCATTACCTCCTGTCTCTGTCTATGCCTTTCGAATGTGGCAGGTAATGGGTAAGAGAGAGTTTAAGAAAATGTGAGAATACTAAATTTTCAGCATTTACTTTCTTTTTTTTTTTTCTATATACAGGGCTAGAATTTAAAATTATAAAATTGTAGTTTAGCGTTTTAAACTATTCTGGAGTTTAACATAGTTGTGGGTGCCATTCCAATATAAAATTAGGTTTTCATGGCTGAATACCATCCTCCTTTGCTTCCTCCCACTAACATGGTTATTTGGCATTAATTTTCAAAAGTCAGTATTTTCCAGAACATGCATAAACGCTTTAAGTGTTTGTTTCGATAGGATGTGTTACACACAGAATTCAGATTTTTAATTGAGGAAATATATGATGGCTGAAAGTTAATATAAATTATTTCTGCTAAAGTACATTAACCAGACCAAACAACTCTATAAACTTCACCTATCCTTGTAGAAGTTTATCTATGTTCCTGCGATTTTCTGAATTCTCATAAAGCTATACCCCAAATAGTTTAGCATAAACTTAGATAAATTGTTCAACAGTGTCATATCTCTCTGCAGGTATTTCCTATACCGTTGGCATTGAATTATAAAGAGTTTAAGGAATTAAAATGTTAAAGAGCAATATGATAATGATTTAACAGCAAAGTGGCAAAAATTTCATAGTGAAATTTTCCAACACTGTGAACTTGCTGCTAATAGTTAATTTTGAAAACATGTCAAATACAAAAACATTATTTCCTGTCTTGTGAAGTTACTGAACATGTGTAGACAGGTTGGAAGCCTAATTATTTAAGACTCCTAGAGATAAAAGCTGAGAACTGACTTGACCTATGCTCAAATCATGTTGGTCAGAAGTCCGTGAATAAATACCTCCATGCAACAGGTTAGGAAAAGGGCGAAAAGGAGAGAGGAAGGAAGGAAGACACTCAGAAGAAACTCACCCAGGTCCTGTTTTTTACTGTAGCTGCTCTCTCTGCTTTTACAAGTCAACAAGTTAGCTTTGTTCTTGTTCTCATTATTTACAGAGTACATGTTCACTGATGATAAATTTAAAAAATAAACTTTCAAAAATATAGTGATACTTTTCAAATATATATTTGTATATATAACTACTGTGTAATTTAAATAACACACTGCCAAGTAGTCTTGGGTCTTAAAGGACTCAACGATTCTTAGTTACTTTGCATGACAGGTAAATTAATTATACAGTTTTGGGTAAGAAAAATCAGTGTGTTCTTGTTCCTACTTTGTAAATCTTCAAGGTAGCTGATCACCCTGAATTCTCTAGGTATAGCGTGATATAACAGGCATTAATGACCTGCCTCTGGAGCGAAAGTGAAGTTCTTCTGACTGATCCACATCATCGAAAGCGTTTCTTTCCAAAAACTATTAGGAAGTGAAGAATTGAATACAGAGTATTCCACTATTCTCCAGTGATTTTTGGACTACCCCCATCCCCACCCACCCACACACAACTTGAAAACTGTCCCACCTAGAATGTTCACTATCTTCAATCAAGTAAATACTTTAATGGACAAATAAAATAGATGTACACAACATACGTTTTGCTTACATGCGAATTTGCCTCAAATTAATTTCTTAACAATCACGAAGAGGATGTGTTTTCATTTCTACTCATTGGAAAAACACAGGGAGAGAAATCCTAAATCCTTTTAGAAGAGCTTGGAGCGCTCTGCTCCTCTTCAAGTTGGCAAGAGATTGGAAAAAAATACAAGCCGTCGCGGACGAAATGGAATATTAAGGAAAACCAACCTAACGGTAGTAGAACACAAGTCGATGGTCTCTCTCTTTTCCCATCGCTAATTCTGTGTCCCTGGCTTTTCCTCTCTGTCCCTCCCACAGTTCTCTGCTTATCTTCCCCCTCCCCTCCTGCCTTTCTCGCACACTCTCTCTCCCTCGGTGTCTCGCGCTCTCCGAGTCTCTGCTCCGAGTTCCTGGTTGGATAATTTGGGTTAATACTAGTGAGTGAGGTTTTTGCGGCTTCAAAGGGTATTTCAAGTTTCCGGAGCTCCTCCCCTCTGCACCGTGTGACAACAACAACTCGTCCAGCCGGCAGCCTGCACTTTTCAGCTCATTTTCTCTCTGTCATTCCCCTCTCAATCTTTGATCAATGTACTTGCCAGGGAGAACCCAAGTCCTTCAAACCTCCTCCTTTTCACCTTCATCCTTAACTTTGTGCTAGAGCGGGACCCACACAACAACAGCCGACCCTCCCCGCCCCCGCCCTCCCCCCAAAACCAGCCCCCGATCCCAGCCCCCGGAGAGGACTCGCATTTCGACTTGCGGGACACTTTTGTGCGTTTCTCTCCAGAGCGCCTCTCGCGCTCGCCCCTCCTGCGCTCGCTCTTTCTCACCCTCTCCTCCTTTCTGCCCCCTTCTCTCCCCTTTCTCCTCGTTTTCTCCTCGAGTTGTTGTTGTTGTTGCCCCCCTAGCTCCTTCTCCTCTTTATACCTCTACCCTCCCCGGGGTGTGTGGCAACTTTTCCCCTCGCTTCTCCTGCTGTTTCCCCTTATATGTGGCCATGGCAGTGCCGGCGGCTTTGATCCCTCCGACCCAGCTGGTTCCCCCTCAACCCCCAATCTCCACGTCTGCTTCCTCCTCGGGCACCACCACCTCCACCTCCTCGGCGACCTCGTCTCCGGCTCCGTCCATCGGGCCCCCGGCGTCCTCAGGGCCAACTCTGT